TTTCGCACAGGGGTCGGTTGCTTCTGGGAGGAACCGTCGTTCCTTCATGTTTTGTTGGATGTCCCCTGGTTCGTCACAGCGCGGCTTCTCCCAGAGGCTCGCGATTTCTCCCACGCGGGGCTGGCCCTGTCCGCGCTCACCCCTTGCACGGAGTTTTGCTCACCTGGTTTGCTGGCCCCCTGCGTGCACGATTTGCCCAGAGCTGGCTCGATTCTAAGCACAGCCTGGGTTTCCCCTCCCCCTCCCCTCTCCTCCTCCTTCCACGTTCGCCCATCCAGGCTGCCCAGCCATTTGCCCTGTCCGTTTTTGTTTACGTCTCTTCGTGCTCTTTCGCGCAGGGGCCGGTTTGTTTCTAGAAGGAACCGTCGTTCCCTCATGTTTTTTGTTGGATGTCCCTTGGTTCGCGGCAGCGCGGCTTCTCCCAGAGGTTTGCGCTTTCTCTCACATGGGGCTGGCCCTGGCCATGCTCACCCCCTGCGCGGAGTTTCGCGAAGGGCTGGCGTGTTTCTAAGAGAAGCCCTGGTTTGCTCGCCCCCTGCATACACAATTTGCCGAGGGCTGGCTCGTTTCTAGGCACAACTTGGGTTTCCCCTCCCCCTCCCCCCTCCCCTCTCCTCCTCCTTCCATGTTCGCCCATCCAGGCTGCCCAGCCATTTGCCCTGTCCGTTGTTGTTTACGTCTCTTCGTGCTCTTTCGCGCAGGGGCCGGCTTGTTTCTAGAAGGAACCGTCGTTCCCTCATGTTTTTTGTTGGATGTCCTTTGGTTCGCGGCAGTGCGGCTTCTCCCAGAGGTTTGCGTTTTCTCTTACATGGGGCTGGCCTTGGCCATGCTCACCCCCTGCGCGGAGTTTCGCGAAGGGCTGGCGTGTTTCTAAGAGAAACCCTGGTTTGCTCGCCCCCTGCATACACAATTTGCCGAGGGCTGGCTCGTTTCTAGGCACAACTTGGGTTCCCCCTCCCCCTCCCCACTCCCCCTCCTCCTCCTTCCATGTTCGACCACCCCGGCTACCCAGCCATTTGCCCTGTCCGTTTTTGTTTACGTCTCTTCGTGCTCTTTCGCGCAAGGGTCGCTTGTTTCTAGAAGAATCCGTCGTTCTCCCACGTTTTGTTGGATGTCCCCTGGTTCGCGACAGTGCGGTTTCTCCCAGAGGTTTGCGCTGTCTCCCACATGGGGCTGGCCCTGACCATGCTCACCCCTTGCATGGAGTTTTGCGAAGGGCTGGCGTGTTTCCAAGAGAAACCCTGGTTTGCTTGCCCCCTGCATACACAATTTGCCGAGGGTTGGCTCGTTTCTAGGCACAACCTGGGCCTCCCCTCCCCCTCCCCTCTCCTCCTCTTTCCATGTTCGCCCACTCTGCCTGCCGAGCCTTTTGCTTGTCCGTGTTTGTTTACGTTTCTTCATGTTCTTTCGCACAATGCGGGCTTGTTTCTAGGAGGAACCGTCGTTCCCCCACGCGTTGTTGGATGCCCCCTGGTCTGTGACAGCGCGGGTTCTTCCAGAGGCTTGCGCTTTCTCCCACATGGGGCTGACCATGGCCACGCTCACCCCTTGCGTGGACTTTTGCGAAGGGCTGGCGTGTTTCTAGGAGGAACCCTGGCATGCTGGCCCCTTGCATTGACAATTTGCCCAGGGCTGGTTCGCTTCCAAGTACAACCTGGGTTTCCTCTCCCCTTCCCCTTTTCCACCTCCTTCCATGTTCGCCCATCCTGGCTACACAGCCTTTTGCCCCGTCAGTTTTTGCTTACGTTTCTTCAAGTTCTTTCGCACAGGGCCGGCTTGTTTCTAGGAGGAACCGTCGTTCCCTCATGTTTTACTGGATGTCTCCTGGTTCGTGACAGTGCGGCTTTTCCCAGAAGCTTGCGCTTTCTCCCACATGGGGCTGGCCCTGGACAGGTTCGCTCCTTGCATGGATTTTTGCGAAGGGCTGGCGTGGGGGAAAAGGAACCCAAAACCAAATCCGAAAGGATCTAGCACGCCAGGCACCTCTGTGATGAATCAACAGGGGACGGCGGATCGAATGGCCTTCGGCCCATCCCGCCACCGTGCCTGGGTTCTGGGTTAAAGGTCTCTTGAGTGTTCGTTGGGATCTCGTGGTAGGCTTCTCGGGGGCCTCTTGAAAACACTTTTGAAGCCTCTTGGGGACTGTTTTGGGGCCTCTTGGGGCCTGTCTCGGGCCGCTTGGGGGCCTCTTGGGGGCTCATGGGGCTTTTTGGAGCCTTTCGGAGGCCTCTCGGGGGATCCTGGAGGTTTCTGGAGGCCGAGGGCTCGAAATTTCCGTTCGGGTCCCCCGTCTGGGCCCCCTCTTGGAGCCGTCTTGGGGGCTTCTTGGGCCGTCTTGGAGGCCTCTGGGGCCGTTTTGGGGCCCTCTTGGGCCGTCTTGGGCCCGTCTTGGGGGCCTCCTGGGCCGTCCTGGGGCGATCTTGGGGGCCTCTTGGGCCGTCTGGGAGCGTCGGGAAGCAGAAAAGGGAAAACCTTAAAGATTTTGGCACAAATTATAGGAAAGCTAAAATGATTGCCTCTTTGGGCCCTCTTGGGAGGCCTCTTGGAGGCGTCTTGGAGGCATCTTGGGCCGTCCGGGGGCCATCTTGGGAGCGATCTTTCGGCGTCTTCGAGCCCTCTGGTGGCACCGTCGCGTCTCCCCGCGTGCTTCTGGAGGCCTGGTCACCCGGTCACCTGGTCAACTGGTCAGCTGGTCAACCGGTCAGCCGGTCACCCGGTCAGCCGGTCACCCGGTCAGCCGGTCACCCGGTCACCCGGCCACCCGGTCACCCAGCCCACCGGTCAGCCGGTCAGCCGGTCACCCGGTCTACGGTCAGCCGCCGGTCAGCTGGTCCGCAGGTCAGCTTGTCAGCTGGTCATGTGGTCAGCCGGTCAACCGGTCAGCCGGTCACCCAGTCAGCCGGTCAACCGGTCAGCCGGTCAACTGGTCATGCAGCCGGTCAGCTGGTCAGCAGCCGGTCAACCGGTCAGCCGGTCAACCGGTCAGCCGGTCAGCCGGTTAGCCGGTCAGCCGGTCAACCGGTCATCCAGTCAATCGGTCAATCGGTCAGCCTGTCAGCTGGTCAGCTTGTCAGTTGGTCATCTGGTCAGCCGGTCAGCCGGTCAGCTGGTCAACCGGTCAGCCGGTCAGCGCCTTCATCAGTTTATTCACGCGGCCAGCTGGTCAGCCGGTCAGCCGGTCAACCGGTCAACCAGTCAACCGGTCAGCCGGTCAACCGGTCAGCCGGTCAACTTGCACAACTATTCCACCATCGCCATCGAAGGAACGGGCCCCCTCCCAGAGGGGCTTGCTTCTTCTCGAGTGCTTGAGTGCTTGGCGGTCCCGCGCCCCCGCCGAGCCCCCCGGAGGGCGGGCCCTCCCACGGGCCGTTTCTGGCGTCCGTCCGTCCGTCCTCTTCGTCATGCATGGCCGCGCGAGGCGCGATTCTCCTCGCGCCCTCTCGCCGCAGCCTTGGCGTACGGTGGAGGCCCGACCACAAGAAACCTTTCACAAGTAACCCAGCCCTGAGACCCCAGGACGCTCATCGATTTTCGGTGTGGGTACGTCACGCTTTCCATAGCAAAAACCATTGAAACCCAAGAAGCCCAGGGCACCCTGGAGGCAAGCAGGGTGTTTTTGGCACGGGCCTCCACTGTAGTCGAGTTTTTGTTCGGCACTGGGTCCCGCGCTCGTGATTGTTCGCCCAAGGCTTGCACGACTGGCGATTGGCGACCGCTCGGGCGCCATGCCGCTGTTAATGGCAGTTCTGCTTGGTTTCGGCACCATCGCCATTTAACAACCAGTTATTCCTAATCGCTTCGTTCATTCCGCGGGCCCACTTCGCATCACGGTGGCTGCATGGTGGTGTGCTCGTATGCATAGAGAACGGTAGGCCAGGTTGGACTGCCCTCGAGATTTTCGGAGATGTGGACACTGTAACATGTTTTTGAAACATGCCATGAGCTCTACGGCTCGTGGAGCCTGCTGGCTGTGAGCGTGTCTTCGCCTTTCCCATCGTACAGCCTCAGCCGATCGCCTCGCTTTTTCTTCGTTTTTTGGTGCTAGTTCTTCCCGTGAGGGCGAAGTGTGCGAGTACCAGGAGGTATCCCCGACGGTGTACGGACGCACGCACGGGCTCTTACTGTATGTCGCTGACTATCTCTGTCGTCCGTCCTCTTCATATTCCCTTTCCTCCCTCCTGTGTTTGACGATGGGTAACCTTGAGGTCACCCCCATGGCTTCCGCTTGTCGCTTGGGCCAAACAGTTCCCCTTCCTACAGTGGAGGCCCGTGCCAAAAAACACCCTGCTTGCCTCCAGGGTGCCCTGGGCTTCTTGGGTTACAATGGTTTTTGCTATGGAAAGCGTGACGTTCCCACCAAAACCTGATGGTCTCAGGATTGGGTCTCTTGTGGAAGGTTCCTTGTGGTCGGGCCCCCACTGTACTCCAGGGTTGCGGCGAGAGGGCGCGAGGAGAATCGCGCCCCGCGCGGCGCGAAACGAGAAGTTGAGCCAACCTGTTCGAATAAGGACCACGTTGGCTCTGGAAAGGGGCTCGGGGTTCCTGGGGTCTTCTCTTGGAGTTTCACTTGGGCGCTCTTCGCATCCCAGGCGCAACAGGGGCCAGATTGATGGCCTCCTGGTTCCATGTCTGAGGTTCTTTCTGCCAAGACTCAGAAGGCCCAGGGTGACGTGTCTTCCGGGTCATCGATCCTCCTTGCCCCTCCCCTTCTGTCCCCTTCAGTGATGGAAAAAAGTACCAACGACATGCCGCCGTAGGGAGCCCGTCGGAGTGCCACTCCGTCGCTCTTCGTCCGACGGCCATGTACCACGTGCTTCTTCTGTTTCACCAGGTCGTTTTTGCGAACGCCCAGGGTGGCACATTGCTCTCTCTTCGAGCTTGCGGCAGGAGTTGAACACGTGCTTCTTCAACAGATCTGAACAGTAACGCGCTGGCGGGTTCCCCCCGGCGGCGTATCATTGGTGCTGCTTTTGCTCGCCCTTCTCTCTTGGCCCGCCGAGGAGGTGCCGAACGAGAACCAGGCACCGCCCCTTCTGCGAAACACGGCAGATAGGAATTTCGGATCGAAGGTCCACAGAAAGTAGGGCAGCCCAATGTTGTTTCACCTCTATCATCCGGTACGTTGGAGTCCCTGGCGGGCTCAGCGCGCCTTCATCCACGTGGTGGGGGTCTTCGGTGGGCAGGCACGTGTTGGCGTTGAAGCACGTTTTCGGGATCACCGGACAGCTTTTGCTTGCGCTTGCCAAGATCTTGCGCGACAGCCATGCCCGAGGGGACGCGGAGCGAGGTGAAGGGCAAGGCCCCAGTTGGCAGCATCCCATGGCCTCGGGAGCTCAGGGAGGAAATGCTGATTAGCGGGGGAGGGGAGAAAGGGGATGGGGATGGATGAGAGTAGGGATGGGGATGGATGGGAGTTGAGGGATGGGGGGCAAAGGGGATGGGGATGGGGAAAGGGGAAAGGGGAAAGGGGAAAGGGGAAGGGGATGGGGGATGGGGGGAATGGGGATGGGGATGGATAAGAACTGAGGGATGGATGAGTTGAAGGGGAAGGGGAAAGGGGATAGGGATGGATGGGAGTCGAGGGATTTGCGAGGGGGCAGGCCAGGCTCAACGACGCAGAGAGAAGTGGGTGGACGAAGGCACGGACGGGGGTAATGGTAATGCAGGGGAGCGAAGGAAGGGGGATGCGAAAATTTTTGGATGATGCTCCCGTTTTGCGACTTGGATCTGGCTAGCCGCGAGTGGGGTACAAATTGGCCACCGATAAGTCATTGCGTAAGCATGATCTGACTAAACGAGCCGAACCTGGCCGCACCGTAAGGACTGAGCATTTAGAAACGAGGAGGAGGAAATGGAAGGGGAAGGGGAGGTTGATGAGGAGGAGGAGAAGGAGGTGGAGGAGGAAGAGGAGGAGGCGAATGACAAGGACGAGGATTGGAAGAGGAGGAGGAGGAGGAGAGATTGCAAGAGGAGGAGAGGGGTGATGGGGAGGGGAGCGGAAGAGGAGAGGGCAACATAGGAGAAATTTGCCTGGCGAAGGACCCAACCATATGCAGTTGTGAATGCCGCAATTGTGCTGGGTGGTGGCGGACGCATGCGGGCGGTGCCACTGGGACCTTCGGTGGAGCTCCCTATGGGGCCACGAAACGCTGTACTGGGTGGGTGAGACGCGGTCAGCAAGGGCTGTGCTGCGTGGTGGCGGACGCATGCGAGCGGTGCCACTGGGACCTTCGGTGGAGCTCCCTATGGGGCCACGAAACGCTGTACTGGGTGGGTGAAACGCAGGCAGGGAGCAAGGGCTGCGCAGGGTGGTGGCGGACGCATGCGGGCGGTGCCGCTGGGACCTTTGGTGGAGCTCCCTATAGGGCTACGAAGCGCTGTTCTGGGTGGGTGAAGCGCAGGGAACAAGGGCTGTGCTGGGTGGTGGCGGACGCAAGCGGGCAGTGCCACTGGGACCTTTGGTGGAGCCCCCTTATGGGGCCACGAAACGTGCGAGGGGTGTGCCAGAATGGGGTGTGGAACCGCATGCGAGCGCAGCCACTGGGGCCTTCGGTGGAGCTCCCTATGGAGCCACGAAACGTGTGAGGGGTGTGCCGAAATGGGGGGGTGGAACCGCATGCGAGCGCAGCCACTGCGGCGTTCGGTGGAGCTCCCTATGGGGCCACGAGACGTGTGAAGGGCGTGCCGAAAAAGGGGGTGGAACCGCATGCGAGCGCAGCCACTGGGGCCTTCGGTGGAGCTCTCTATGGGGCCACGAACCGTGTGAGGGGTGTGCCGAAATGGGGGGGGAACCACATGCGAGCGCAGCCACTGGGGCGTTCGGTGGAGCTCCCCATGGAGCCACCCACGAAGCGTGTGAGGGGTGTGCCGAAATGGGGGGTGGAACCGCATGCGGGCGCAGCCACTGGGGCCTTCGGTGGAGCTCCCTATGGGGCCACGAAACGTGTGAGGGGTGTGCCAGAATGGGGGGTGGAACCGCATGCGGGCGCAGCCACTGGGGCCTTCGGTGGAGCTCCCTATGGGGCCACGAAACGTGTGAGGGGTGTGCCAGAATGGGGGGTGGAACCGCATGCGGGCGCAGCCACTGGGGCCTTCGGTGGAGCTCCCTATGGGGCCACGAAACGTGTGAGGGGTGTGCCAGAATGGGGGGTGGAACCGCATGCGGGCGCAGCCACTGGGGCCTTCGGTGGAGCTCCCTATGGGGCCACGAAACGTGTGAGGGGTGTGCCAGAATGGGGGGTGGAACCGCATGCGGGCGCAGCCACTGGGGCCTTCGGTCCGGGGCTCCCCGCATGCGGGCGCACTGGGGCCACGGGGCCACGAACGTGTGAGGGGTGTGCCAGAACGGGGGTGGAACCGCATGCGGGCGCAGCCACTGGGGCCTTCGGTGGAGCTCCCTATGGGGCCACGAAACGTGTGAGGGGTGTGCCAGAATGGGGGGTGGAACCGCATGCGGGCGCAGCCACTGGGGCCTTCGGTGGAGCTCCCTATGGGGCCACGAAACGTGTGAGGGGTGTGCCAGAATGGGGGGGTGGAACCGAATGCGGGCGCAGCCACTGGGGCCTTCGGTGGAGCTCCCTATGGGGCCACGAAACGTGTGAGGGGTGTGCCAGAATGGGTGTGGGAGGGGGAGGAGGGGGGAGGAAGGGGAGGAGGAGGAAGGAGGAACGCGGGGCGACGTCTCCTCAAAACGAGGACCCAACACCACAGGATGGTTGGGAAAATATAAACATAACGATGATGAGGATGATGATGTTGATGTTGATGGCTGTGATGATGATGATGATGATGCTGATGCTGATGCTGATGCTGATGCTGATGCTGATGGTGATGCTATTGGTGATGGTGATGATGATGACGACGATGATGAGGATGCTGCTGAAGATGATGCTGCTGATGATGATGATGGTCACGATCATGATCATGACCCTGATGGTTATGGTGATGGTGATGCTGATGGTACTGATGATGATGATGATGATGATGCTGATACTGATACTGATACTGATGACTATGACGATGAGGATGAGGAGGAGGAGGATGTTGCTGATGATGATACGATGGTGATGATGATGATGCTGCTGCTGATGATGATTATGATGCGGATGATGATGATGGTGGTGAAGATTATGATGATGATGATGATGCTGATGATGTTGATGAAGATGAGGAGGAGGACGAGGATGATGATGATGCAGATGATTTATGCTGATGCTGATGCTGATGCTGATGCTGATGCTGACGATGATGCTGTTGATGCTGCTGATGCTGATGAGGATGATGGTGATGGTGATGATGGTGACGGTGACGGTGATGGTGATGGTGATGGTGATGGCGATGACGATGACGATGACGATGACGCCGACGATGATGATGATGATGATGATGATGATGATGATGATGATGATGATGATGATGATGATGATGATGATGATGATGATGATGATGATGATGATGATGATGATGATGATGATGATGATGGTGATGGTGATGGTGATGGTGATGGTGATGGTGATGGTGATGGTGATGGTGATGGTGATGGTGAGGGTGAGGGTGAGGGTGAGGGTGAGGGTGAGGGTGAGGATGAGGATGAGGATGAGGATGAGGATGATGCTGCTGCTGCTGCTGCTGCTGATGATGATGATGATGATGATGATGATGATGATGATGGTGACGGTGATGTCGATGTTGATGTTGATGGTGAGGAGGAGGAGGAGGATCAGGATCAGTGTCAAGATCAGGATCTGGACCAGGATGCTGATGCTGATGGTGATGGTGGTGGTGATGATGATGACGAGGAGGAGAAGGAGAAGAGAAAGGAGAGACAGGAGAGGGGATGGAAAGGGGAGTAGGAGAAGAAGGGGTCGGAGGAGGCGGAGTTGGAGGAAGTGGAGAAAGAGGATAGGGTAGATAAGGATGGAGCAGGAAGAGGAAGAGGAGGAGGAGGAGGAGCAGGAGCAGGAGGAGGAGGAGGAGGGAGAGCACGTGGTTGGCGCTGTCATCTTCGCGAGTTTTCTGCGATCTCGAGTTCTCGTAGTCTAGGTCCCAGCTGGCGTATATCCAAACCCGGAGTGGCCGCCATTCGCGTGTCCCTCCCGGGTGACCAACCTCGACTGAGAGGGCCCCGGCGGACCTCGTGCGTTATCTGAGGAGGGGGAGGAGGAGGACGAGGAGGACGAGGAGGACGAGGAGGACGAGGAGGAGGAGGACGAGGAGGAGGAGGACGAGGACAAGGACGAAGACGAGGGCGAGGGCGAGGGCGAGGAGGAGGATGAGGAGGAGGAGGAGGAGGAGGAGGACGAGGCGGACGAGACAGACGTAGGCGAGGACGAGGAGGAGGAGGACCAGTGTAAACCCAAGACGCACCAACAATGTTGCAGCACACCTTCCCTGGAAGTTCCCTCTCCAGAGGTCCCTACAAGAGTTTACTAACATTGCGGGAAGTGCGTCATTGGAAACAGTCGTCTGAGAACTCTCATTCGTGCCGAAACGAAGTTCCTTGGGCTTCAGCGTCGCGAATCAACGTGGCTGCTGCGTCCTGATATCCTAAACCGTGCCAGATTACGATTCCTGGTACTTCAACCATACGAGCCCATGAATGTGTCGGAAGCCTTCAAGACGAATGTGCGCGGCGCTAAGGCGAGAGCACATGTTGAAAATAAACCGCCCTGTCATCTGTGAAGGTGGTGTACAGTTTAAGACGCACGGCGCTAATGCGAGACACACAGTTTTAAAAGAACCCGCCCTCCATCTTGGAAGCTGCTGCAAACGTTGCAGACGAATGTGCACGGCGCTAAAGCGAGAGCCCGTTCAGAAATTTTGCCCACGAGAGTTGACGGGAACATGGACGAAGAGACACATATAGTGAAACAAAGCGGGCAATTTGGACGAGCAGAGCAATCGTTGGGAGCAAGGGGGTGGTTTGGGAGAGTCTCTTCGGGCCATCCCTGGGTCCCGCGGGGGGGCGAGGGGAGGAGGAGGAGGAGGAGGAGGAGAAGGAGGAGGAGGAGAAGGAAGAGGAGGAGAAGGAGGAGGAGGAGAAGGAGTAAGAGGAGGAAAAGGAGGAGGAGGAGAAGGATAAGGGGGAGGCACATCGCCTCATGGAGCACTCTTGGGGTTCTTTGGGTGAGTCTTGGGGTCATTTGGGGGCCCATCTTGGGCGCCTTGGGGCCTTCTCTTGGGAGCCGAGGAGGGACTCGTAAGGCCATCTTGGAAGCCATCGATCAACGAAGGGGGGGTCTTATACCCTGTGTCCCTCAATAGTTCTGGGGGTACCTATAGTCCGGGGTGGGTACCTGTCCGGGGGAGGGGTACCTATAGTGCGGGAGAGGGGTATCTGTATCCCGGGGGGGGGTACCTGTAGTCCGGGGTGGGGTACCTGTAGTTCGAGGGTGGGGTACTTGTAGTCCGGGGGAGTGGTACCTGTAGTCCGGGGGAGAGGTATCTATAGTCCGGGGGGGGGGGCACCTATAGTCCGGGGTGGGGTACTTGTAGTCCGGGGGAGGGGTACCTGTAGTCTGGGGGGGGCACCTGTAGTATGGAGGGACACAGAGTAGTTCCCCCCCACCTTTCTCTGGGGCCCTCAAATACGAATTTTGGGGCGCTCTCGGGGCGAACTTGAGCGCTGTTGAGGCAGTCTGGGAGGGAGAGGGGAGCTCTTGTGCCCCTCTTGAGGCTCCTCTTGGGCCGTCTCGCATCGGAAGCGAAAAGGTGAGAAGGCAAACATCATATATCACCCTTTCGGTTTCGATGGATTCTGGCCTCTTGGGGGGGTCCACTTGGAACCGTCTTGCAGCGGTGTTTGGTCCTCTTGGAGCATGTTGGAAACAATCCAGAGACATGTTTGGCTATCTTAACCCATCTTGGAGGCTCTCTCGGAGCCATCATGGGCGAAAACAGACCCTCTGAATCCTTACGGAAGCACCCCAAACACTTGATGGACGGGAGTGGGGAGAGTACCCCTCCACGAAGGAAAGAAGGTTCCTGGAACACGAGAGAAATAACTCGTTAGACCACCTACGCCCAGAGTTATGATGCTCCAACCTACTGTAGCCTTGATCACCAGGAAGAATTTCGAGCGCCCCAAAAATCAAGGGTCTTCACGTGTCGGGGCCTGGGAGACACTCGCCCGACACTGTTTCGAAATTCTTTGACACTTTTCCGGGTGCTCGAAATTATTTCTAGGATGCGGTTCTCAAGTAGGATGGGAACAACATAAGCCCAGATGCCTGGTGGGATTTCAAGCTTCAGGATCATAGGTGGTGATGAAGTCTCATGCGAAACGCCGGGTCCGCCCTACCGACACGTGCGGGGGTGCGACGGGGATGAGCTATTCATAAGGAAAGGGGTGAAGGCAAGTCAGACGACGAGAGGATGAGAAGGACGATGAGGATGAGAGGACAAGAGAAGAGATGAGAGGATAGGAGGAGGAGAGGATGGGAGAGGATGGGAGAGGCTGATGATGATGAGGAGAAGGATGACGACGATGAGGTGGATCAAACGAGAGGATGTGGATGATGGTTATGATGATGATGATGATGATGATGATGATGATGATGCTGATGCTGATGCTGATGCTGATGCTGATGCTGATGCTGATGCTGATGCTGATGCTGATGCTGATGATGGTGATGATCGTGGTGATGGTGATGGTGGTGATGGTGATGGCGATGGTGATTATGCTGATCGTGAGGTTGATGCTGAGGCTGATGATGATGATTATGCTGCTGATGATGATGATGTCGATGCTGGTGATGGTGATGCTGATTGTTATGCTGCTGATGATGATGATGGTGGTAGTAGTGATCGTGAGGGTGATGATGATGGCCATGATGATGATGATGATGATGATGATGCTGATGATGGTGCTGATGCTGATGCTGGTGCTGATGCGTATGCTGATGCGTAAGCTGATGACGATGCCGATGTTGATGCGATACTGTTGATGCGGATGATGAAATGGTGATACTGATGATGATGGTGATGGTGATGGTGATGTTGCTGATGATGATGATGATGATGGTGGTGATGATGGTGATGGTGATGCTGAATATGATGCTGTTGATGATGATGATGCTGATGATGCTGATGATGGTGATGATGATAAAGATGAGGATGAGGATGAGGACGAGGATGAGGATGATGATGATTATGATGGTGATGTTGATGGTGGTGGTGATTATGATGATGATGGTGCTGATGACGACAACGAGGACGGCGATGCTGCTGATGATGATGATGCTGATGATGCTGTTGATACTGTTGATGCTGATGATAACGATGACAACGATGCTGATGCTGGCGATGATGATGTTGATGATGGTGGTGATTATGATGGTGATGCCGATGGCGATGGCGATGCTTTTGAGGATGGCGACGGTGAGGTCGATGATGTGATGGTGATGGTGATGATGAGGATGAGGATGCTGATGCTGATGCTGCTGCGGCTGATGATGATGCTGATGATGATGACGATGCTGCTGATGCTGATGGTGATGATGATGATGATGATGATGAGGATGAGAATGAGGATGAGGATGAGGATGAGGATGAGGATGATGATGATGATGATGATGATGATGATGATGATGATGATGATGATGATGATGATGATGATGATGATGCTGTTGATGCTGCTGATGATGATGATGAGGAGGAGGAGGAGGAGGATGAGGAGGAGGAGGAGGAGGAACACGAGGAAGAGGAGGAGGATGATGAGGAGGAGGGGGAGGAGAAGGGCAAATATGAGGACAAATGAAGAGGACGACCATGAGGACGAGGATAACGAGGAGGACGAAACAGACGTGGTCGAGGACGAGGACGATGTGGAGGGGAGGAGGAGCAGGAGCAGGAGCAGGAATGGGAGCGGGAGGAGGATGAGGAGGAGGAGGAGGATGAGGAGGAGGAGGAGGACCGGAGGAGGAGGACCGGAGGAGACAGGAGGAGAAGGATGCCAGGAGGGAGCCGCAGGAGGAGGCACGAGTTGGCACACGCTGACGCGACGACCGCCCCTGCGCACAGGGCGTGACCGCGAACTTTGGCGCCCAGGACATCAGGTATCAGTCGCAGGACGTCAGGTATGCGTCCCAGGACGTCCGGGGCCCAGCGGCCCTTGGAGGAGGTGAGAAGAAGGAGGATGCGGCAGGTGGTGAGAAAGGAGGGGGAGGAGGAGGAGGAGGAGGAGGAGGAGGAGGAGGAGGAGGAGGAGGAGGAGGAGGAGGAGGAGGAGGGAGGAGGCGGTGGAGGAGGAGGAGGAGGAGCAGGAGGAGGAGGAATAGGAGGAGGAGTAGGAGGAGAAGCAGAAGGAGGTGGAGGAGGAAGAGGAGGAGGAGGAGGAGGAGGAGTAGGAGGAGAGGAAGGAGGATGGTTGGGGGTGCGGGAGGAGGAGCAGGACGACGAGGAGGAGGAAGTCCCTCCCGCTGCTTTCGCCATGAAAGGGGTCCTCGGGGACCGAAGGCGCGACTGGCTCTCGCTGCAGGTGGGTCGCGACGACGACCACCACGTCGTCGTCGTCGGCGTCGGCGTCGGCGTCGGTGTCGTCGTCGTCGTCGTCGTCTGTGTCGTCGTCGGGGTCGCCGTCGGCGTCGGGAAAAAAACTCGACCCAGGGAAACGAGCTCAACCCGGGAAGTGGGAGCGCGAACCCCAGCACGAAAAAGCGCGACCCACGGAAACCGAACCACGAACGCAGGCAGGAACCGCGGGACGCGCCGAACTTGGGAAACACAGATGGCGCGAGGCGTAGAAAGAGAGGGCGAGGAGGTTCAATTGAGACATCCTCGCAATTCGGGGCTCCGAGATGCTGCACGCGAGGTGGTCCAGCCCGTTTCGCCTGAGATATCCTCGCAACATTTGGCTCCTCGAAGATGTGCGCGAGGTGGTCCAGCTCGTTTCACCTTACGTCCTGGCAACTCTAGGCTCAGGAAATGTGCACGAGGTGGTCGGGCGCGTTTCGCTTGAGACATGCTCGCAACTCTGGGTTCCGAGAGAGGTCGTGGAGAGAGGGGAGGAGGGAGGACGAGGAGGAGAAGGAGTGGATGGGGAGGAGGAGGAGGGAGGAGTAGTACATTGCACTGCAGTGAGGAGGGAGGAGGGGGGAGGAGGGGAGGGGAAGGAGGGAGGAATGGGGGAGGGAGGGAGGAGGGAGGATCGAGGGAGGAGGGAAGTAGGGAGGGAGAAGGACGATGAGGAGGATAGGAATGTAGTTTTGTTCGCCTCCCTGGCCCTGGTCATCGTGGTCGTCGTGGCATTATGTTATTGCTCGGCTCCCACGGCGCTGCCACGTGACGCGTTGCACTGCGTTGCGTTGCATTGCGTTGTGTTGGAATGCGTTCTGTTGCACTGCATTGCTTTGCGTTGCAGTTGCATTGCATGTACAATACATTGCGTTGCAATCGATTGTGGGCGTGGGGGAGGACAGGAGGGAGGAGAAGGGAGGAAGGTAAAGATAAGGGGAGGAAGGAGGAGTGAGGAGGTCAGGAGGGGGGAGGAGGAGAGGGGGAGGAGGGAGGAGGGGGAGGAAGGAGGGAGGATGGAGGAGGGAGGAGGAAAGGGGGTGGGAGTAGGACGAGGAGGAGGATAGGATAGAATTGTTGTTCGCCTCCCTGGCCCCCGTCATCGTCGTCGTCACCATCGTCGTCGTCGTCGTCGTTCTCGTCGTCGTCGTCGTCGCCGTAATCTTGGCATAATGTTCGTTTCGGCTCCCGCGGCGCTGCCACACGATATCGTCACGCCTACAGGCGCTGCCACGCGGCGAGTGAAGTGACACAGTTACGCTTTTCGGCCCCCGCGGCGTCGCCGCGTGACGAAGGCGCGGAACAGTTCGCTGTTCCGGCCCCCGCGGCGCTGCCACGTGACAAATCGAGTGGATGTAATACACCTTAGGCGATGCTTAAGAAAACTTGAATTTTCGGCCAGGGTCTCGATTATTCTTAACGTTTCAATGTAAATCCTAAGATTTGAATGGAAATGTAGGGTTTTTATTCAAGTTCTGAGACTATGAATTTCTTAACCCAGGATTTCTTAAGCATTTCGCAGGGTGTAATACTGTTTCTTCGCGCCTCCAGGTTGCCACCTGGCAAGTGGCCCCAAGCGGCATTGCCACGCGACGAATGTTGTGGAAAAGTATGTTTTTCGCCCCCCCCCCCAGATGGTGTTGTGTGGTGAGCGGAATATCTTTTTCTCAGCCCCCGCGGCGTTGCGACGTGACGAGTAAAGCGGAATAGTATTTTGTCGCCCGCCCAGGCGTTGCCACGTGGCGAGTGGAGCGGAAAGTATGTTTTTCGGCCCCGCGGCGCTGCCACGTGACGATGCACACATTGCTTTTAGTGCATTGCATTGCAGTGCATTGATTGCGTTGCATTGTACTGCATTGTATAGCGTTGCGTTGCATTGCATTACGTTGCGTTGCATTGCGTTGCGTTGCATTGTATCCTGTTGCGTTCCATTGCTTTGCACTGCGTTGCATTTGCGCTGCAGTTGCAATACATTGCATTGCCATAAATTACGGGCGAGGGGGAGGAGGAGGGGGAGGACAGGGAGGGAGCAGAAGAAGGGAGGAAAGTTCAGAGAAGAGGAGGGAAGGAGGAGGAGGAGTGAGAAGGGAGGAAGGGGGAGGAGGGGAGGGAAGAGGGAGGGGCGAAGCGACCAACCACCCGGTCAAGCGGGCAACCGGTCACCCAGGCACCTAACCAATCAACCCACCGACCAAACACCAGCGCACCAATTGGCCAACCAACGAACCGGCCACCTAACCAATCAACCAGCCAGCCAGCCAACCAACCAACCAGCCCCGTCGCCTCAGGGAAACAAAATGGCCCAGAGATTGGTGAGCCAACTAGCCAGTCAGCCATCCAGCCAACAAACCCACCAACCAACCAACCAACCGCCCAAGCTATCAACAACCAATCCACCAACCAACCCACCAACCAACCGCCGCCCAACCAACCAAACAACTAAACAACCCACCAACCAACCAACCAACCAACCAACCAACCAACCAACCAACCAACCAACCAACCATCCCAGGACAAAAAATGCTTGACCCAGAATCCGGCGAGCCAACAAGCCAACCAACCCAAGAACCGACCAGTCTTTTCGGATGAATTTTCGGACCAGGAAAAATATGTTTCGGACCAGAAAGAAGACCCTGCAATCGGCGAACCAATCAGCCAACCAACCCACCAACCAACCAGTCCTCGCTCATCCTCCCTCCCTCCCCCTTCCTCCCTCATCATCCCTCCCTCCTCCCTCCTCCTCCTTCTCATCCCTCCTCATCATTCCTCCTCCCTCCCTCCTCTTCATCGTCCTCATTTTCCTCCTCATCCTCATCCTCCTCCTTCTCATTCCTTCTCATCCCTGCTCTCCCCCCGCCCTTCCCCTCCTCCTCTTCCTCCGCCCGCCCTCCGTGCCCTCCTCCCCATCCCTCCCCATTCCATCCTCTGCATCCTCCCCCTCCGTGGCCGCCACGTGCTCCGCACGTGCAGCCTGTGACCAATTTCCAGGTAAGGGGCAGGGGATCGCGAGACAACCGAGCGGGCCATAGCCACCCCTCCCTCCCCAAACAAAAACAATCACAACGATGCCACATCGAAGCAGCTGGACTGTATTGCAATGGCCTTACGGCCAGTGCCGCCGACCCTGAAGGGGGATGACGACGGCGACGAAGAAACACATTGAAACACCGAAAGGACATCGATTATGTTGCCTTCTTGGGGTTCTCTTGGGAGTGCTCTTGGGGCTCTCTTGGGTCTCTTGGGGGCTTATTGGGCACTTCTGGGGCCTCCTGGGAGCCTTGGGGCCGAAGGCTCGAAATGTCGTTTGATGTTTTCCATCTCGGGAGCTTCTTGTTGCTCTCTGAGGGCCCTCTTCGTCCGACTTGAGGGCTTCTTGGGCCGTCTTGGGCCGTTTAGGGGCGCTTTCAGCAGCCTCGATCTTCTCGCGCGGTCGTAAAGGGGGGAAGGAGGAGGGGGAAGGGGAGGAAGAGGAGGAGCAAGGCAGATGAGGAGGAAGAAGAGGAGTAGGAGGAGGAGGAGGTTCGAAGGGTCGAGGAAGAGAAGGAGGAGGAGGAGGAGGAGGTGGAGGAGGAGGACGAGGAGGAGGAGGAGGAGGAGGAGGCTCTCGGGGTTCGTGTTTTCGTTTCCGGGGATGGTCCCTCGCTGTTTCTGTGGGTGGCCGCTCGCATTTCCGGGGTTCGCGCCGCCGTCGTTTCCGGGGCTGGCGTGTGCACGTTCCGGGGTTCGCGTCGCGTCGTCTATCCTCGGCGTCGGCGTCGTCGTCGTCTTGAAAGTTGTTGGGCGTCTTTTGAGGCTCTCGTCGCCGAGGAGGCTGGACGGGGTTCGAGAAACTGGCCAGGATGGGCTCTGGGAGGAGGCCAGGGGCCAGGCTTGAACGCAGGAGAAGAGGGGTCCAGACGGGGTCGAGGGGAGTGGAGTGGCGGCGGCGGCGACTGGCGGGCGGCGAAGGGCGGCGGCGAGCGGCGGCGAGCGGCAGCTCCGCGCGCGTGCGCGATCGCTCGCTGGCGAGTGGCGCCTCCGCGCGGCGCGCCCATCTCCTCGCGGGGTGCGCGGGGGCGGCGGCTGGGGCGGCTGGGCCCGCCCCGCCGCCCCGCCGCCAGGGACACGGGTCCTGACGTTTTGCGCCTTCTCTCTGGCCTCTCCGCGCATTTCCCGGGCCGCGGGGCCACTGGTGCAAGTGAGTCGGGGGGATGCCCTTCCCAGGAAAAGCCCCGAGGCCCAGGACCCGCATCCTTCAGGATCCCCCCTCCTCATCCCGATTCTTCTCGAAGGCCCGGGCGCCCACAGACGACTTTTGCTGCGCCGCGCCTTGGCTGCCGCGATCCTCAAGGTGCACAGGGGAGGTGCCCCCTCGACGTCTCCTCCTCCTCCTCCTCCTCCTCCTCCTCCTCCTCTCCTCCTCCCTCCTCCTCCTCCTCCTCCTCCTCCTCCTCCTCCTCCTCCTCTCCTCCTCCTCCTCCTCCTCCCTCCTCCTCCTCCTCCTCCTCCTCCTCCTCCCCCTCCTCCTCCTCCTCCTCCTCCTCCTCCTCCTCCTCCTCCTCCTCCTCCTCCCCCTCCTCAGGGTGGGCAGGGGGTGCCTT